CGGCGTCGGCGGAGCTCCTTCTATGGGGGCACGAAGAGCGTGTGAGAGGTGCGCTGGCATGCGCTTGCGGACGTAGAGCGGAAGCGGGGAGAGGAGGGGGCGGAGGGGGAGGAGGAGGAGGAGGACGAGGAGGAGGAGGAGGAGGATGAGGAGGAGGAGGAGGAGAAGGAGGAGGAGGAGGAGGAAGAGGAGGAGGAAGAGGAGGAGGAAGAGGAGGAGGAGGAGGAGGAGGCGTGTGCGAGACGCTGTTTCGTTTGACTCATCGTCATCGTCGTCGCAGTCGCCGCTCCACCCACTTTCCCTGGGCCCTCCGCCTGAAGCGCGCCAGCTAACGCGAAATTAGGCAACATCGTAGCTGAGTAGGAAAGAAGCCCCGACCCTTTGATCACTTCCCCGCCAGGGAAGGGGAGGGGCGGGGGGGGAGGGGGGTGCCGGGTCAGAATGCCATCCCCCCGTCTCCCAAAGGCCCCAAGAGGCCCCCAAGAGGCCTCCAGCAATGCGCCCCCGGGAAGCCCCGCGAGGCCCCCAAGAGGCTCCCCAGATGCCCCCGCGAGGCCCCCGCGAGGCCCCCGTGAGACCCCCAAGAGACCCCAGAACTGATGCCCCCGAGAGCGCTCCGAGGAGACCCCAAGAAGCATCCCTGAGGACTCCGACCCACGTCGGCGTCATCGTCGTCCTCCTCCTCCTCCTCCTCGTCCTCCTCCTCCTCGTCCTCGTCCTCGTCCTCGTCGTCCTCGTCCTCGTCGTCGTCGTCGTCGTCGTCGTCGCCGCCGCCGCCGCCGTCGTCGTCGTCGTCGTCGTCGTCGTCGTCGTCGTCGTCGTCGTCGTCCCCCTTTTAGGGTCGGCGGCACCAGGCGCAAGGCCTTCGCAATGCGGCGGAAAAAGCTATAGCACCCCGCAGTTGCGGTGTGGATGAGAATGAGGGGGCGGGCGCGGAGAAGGTCGCGGGTGAATCGCGGGGTAGGTCGCGGGGTGGGTCGAGGGTGGGTCGCGGGTGGGCCGCGGGCGAGGACGAACAAGCAAACAAACAACCAAACTGACTAACTAACGAACTAACTAACTGAAACAACAAACGAACTAACTAACTAACTACACACAGCACGCAACACGCAACATGGAACACGCAACACACAACACAATGACGTTAACAACCACAACAACCGCAAGATCAACAAACAGCACAGCCAACAACAGCATCAGCAACATCAACAATAGCAGCAGCCGCAGCAACGACAACACCATCAACATCATACACAGCAACAACAGCAACGGCAGAAGCAGCAGCAACACTAACAAAACAACAATAACAACACCAAAAACAATAAAGCACAACAACAACAACAACCGTAGCAACACCAATATCAACAACAACAACGCCATCACCATCACCAACAACAGCCCAACCACCACCAACACACAACAACCAATGCACACCAACCGCAACAACAACACCAACAACAACATCATCAACAACAACGTCAATACGGACAACAACACCAACAACAACAACAACAACCACAACAACAACAACAACAACAACAGCAACAACAACAACAACAACAACAACAACAACAACAACAACAATAACACCAACACCAACAACACCAACACCACCACCACCAACAACAACAGCAGAAGCAACAGCAACGACAACAGCAACAACAACAGCATAAGTAACACCAACCACAGCAACAACAACAAACACATCATACAACAACACCGACACCAACGCAAACAACAACAATACAACAACAATACAATAACATTTGTAAAACAGGTCGCTCTTACCCGCTCGCGTGCCACTCGACACGTATTTCCCGAATCCTCGGTACCCGCCCTCTTCGTCTTCGATCGTGCCCCACTGGGGGTATATCTTCCTTACCTGCCGCGTGTAACTGGTGCAGCCCAAAAAGCAAGGAAAAAGAGGACGGATTGAAGGGGGAGGGAAAAGGATGGAGCACGGGATTCGCAGGAGGGGCGCTAGGGGCTAGGAGCAGAAAACAGGTGGCAGAACCAGACAGGCCCATCGGGCGGGTAGACCCTAACGGGTGGGTCGGGAAGGCGGGCCCAAGCGGCCAGGTCGAGAAGGCGTGTTGCTGAAGCGTGAGTACTGCATGAATCGCGAGGAGAGCTCGAGCCATAGCGCGATTCCAATGTAAATCGTGAGAAAGGCCAAAGCGAGACCGTGATTCATGAGTGTCGAGAGACCGTGGACTCGCGAGGAGGAAATCCCACGCGTGAGGATCCCACGCGAGGACAGTGAATGACCGTTCGGCCCCCTCACTCTGATAAAATAGGGTAGTTTAGAGGCTCCGATAAGCTCCCCAAAGAGCACAGCAACGTGATCGCAAATGCACCAGAATGTCTCGGAAGGAATTGCCTGGTCTATTTTCAGGCGATGCCACGTCTCAGGCCCGCGGGGGTCTCGCCCTCACGTTCCTGCCCCACTACGGTCAAATAGACAGTGCGAAGACACATAAAAGCGCGCGACATGGACGTGAGGAAACCTAGATCCCCGAAGCTCCTCATCGTCCTACTGGCCAGACGAGGGCGGGTGGAAGACGCCGAAGAGAGAAGGTGAGCCATCTGGAGCAGCATCGGGCACGCCGAAGGGGCACGCCGAAGGGGATCCTGCAGCTGCCCTCGAATCAGATTCCCCAGTCGTGGAAAGACGGGGAAATCCCCCTGCGTAACAGGTGTGAGCGGCCCAAACAAGGGAACTCTCCTGCTTCGAAAATCAAATGTTCCTGGGATGCCCCCGAGAGGCCCGCGAAAGGCCTCCGAGAGGCCCCTGAGATGCATTATACCGGACCCTCACGCACATCCCCGAGGCTCCTGACCCACAGGCCAGGCACGGTGGCACGCACAAGTTCACTTATGGCGGTCGGCAGAGTAGCGTACAGTCGGCCCGTATCATACGGATGCGCGATCAGGATGCAAGGGCCTTGGAAGGCCGTTTCGAAGCTTTTCGAGCGGGGCGCAGCCAACGAACGTGGCCAAGGATGGACCGAGGAGGCAAGGATGCGAGGGTACCTTTGAGAAGGTTGCTCATCCTTACTATGCGGGTTGACTGTAGCGTATCTGGAATAATCTCTTAGAGATGCCTCTTGGAATTCCAGGGAACCGATATGCGGCAGCTGCCGAGCGTCTCCACGGCTTCCTGCATGTTCACCGCCACCTCGGCGCCACAGCCGCGGGCAGAGGGGGGAACCTCGGGGCCTCCGCCCTCCCACTCCTCCTCCTCCTCCTCCTCCTCTTCCTCCTCCTCCTCCTTCATTCCTTCTCCTTATGAATAATTTCTCCCTGTCGCACCCCGAGGCCAGTTTTTAGGGCGGGCGGGCCGTTTCGCCTAAGACTTCCTCACCATTTATGATTCCGAGGCTTACAAATTGGCAGCAGCTTCGCAGATGGAGGGCGGGTGGTTTTCAAAATGTGGCTCTCGCCGTAGCGCCGCGCACATTCACCTTACAAAGTTGCAAGAGTTTCACGGATTGAAGGCAAATGGTTTTCAAAATGTGATTCTCGCGCTAGAGCCGCGCACTTTCGCTTCAAAAAATAGCAAAAGCTTCGCGGATTGAGGCGAGTGGTTTCCAAAATGTGGCTCTCGCCTTAGCGCCGCTTGATGGAAAGTCGTTTTCAAAATGTGGCTCTCGCCTTAGCGCCGCGCATATTCGTCTTCAACATAGTAAAAGCTTCACGGATTGAGGGCGGTTCCTTTTTTAAAAACTGTGGCTCTCGCCTCAGCGCCGCGCGCATTCGTCTTAAACATTTGCAAGAGGTCCGCAGACTCCCATGATCGATGTACCAGACATGGTGTTGTGGAAGGATTCAGGCTCATGAGGGTGCACCAATTATGTTGGCTCGCGGTGTCCAAATCCCAAGAATGGTGTTTCGGCACGATTCCGGATCGTCAAAACGCAACGGTCAGGTTGATCCGTGGCGCTGGAATCCCGAGAACAATGTTTTGACATGCCTCAAGGTCTTCAAACAGTTTTTTTCCAACGAGGCAACTCCCTGAACAAAAATGAACCGTTGTAGGGACCTGTGAAGAAGGGGTTTGGAGGGATGGTTTATTCCAACATCGTAAATGCTTCTTGGGTTTACATTGGCCCTCCTCCTCCTCTTCGTCCCCCTCCTCCTCCTCGTTTTCTTCCTCCTCCTCGTCCTCCTCGTCCTCCTCTCCTCCTCATCCTCCTCGTCGTCCTCCTCCTTCTCCTCCTCCTCCTTGTCCTCCTCGTCATCAATCCCTGTTCCTTATAAATGACTCCTCCATGTCGCACCCCTAAGCCAGTCGAAAAGGCGGTCTGAACGTTTCGCCTGAAACTTCCTCGGAACTTCGGATCCTGAAGCTTGGAATTTGCAGCGATTTGACGGATGGAGGGCGGTCACAGTCGTCGCGGGTATCGCCTTCAAGAGATCTCCTCATTGGCCAACTGAACGTAGTACTGGGCGAGGGAGACGCATGCGAACACCGCCACTGGGGCCTTCGGTGGAGCTCCCTATGGGGCCATGAAGCGCTATATTGGGTTGGGGGAGACGCATGCGAACACCTCCATTGGGGCCTTCGGTGGAGCTCCCTACATCCCAGTGGAAAAAAGCTTATAACAAAAGTGGCACAAGGATGGAAGCCTTAGGTGGCATCTGCCCGGGAACCTCGAGTGTCACATGGCGCGCTCTGTTAGCGCACACTGCCGCTCATTAGCGTTTATCAGCGCTGGCCTGCGGAAGGAGTAGACGAACTAGGAGAGATCCCCAAGAAGCCCCAAATGGGCCCCCAGGAGACGCCCAAGAAGGCCTCAATATGGTTCAAGAGGCCACCAAGGCAAACTCAGGACAGCCCAAGAGGGACCCTGGACGGCCCAAGAGGGACCCACGAGGGCCTCAAGCCGGCCCAAGAGAGCTTTTGGGTGGCCTCAAGCCACACGATAACTACCACGATGGTCGCAAGCTCTCACTCCTTCCTGGGGTCGGCGGAATGGCGTAAGCCACTTGGATAGACGAACTCGGAGAGTCTGCGGCCAGGCCACGCGGCGTCGCCCACCTCTTGCGGCGGGCGCCTCCTCCGCTCGGAAAACGAAGGACTCGCTGTGGAACATTACACATGCATAGACACATACATGCATATGTATATATATACATAAATATATATATATACGTAAAGAGAGGGAGGAATGGTGGGAAAGAGAGAGAAAGAGAGAGAGAGAGAGAGACCAGACGCCACGGGCGCGCGGGCCCGATGGTGGTCCAGATGGTTGTCCCGCGTTTGTCCCCCGAAGGTCCAACGGTTGCGCCGACGGTTGTCCGTTGGTTGTCCCGACGGCTGTCCTGACTGGCATCCCGCGGATGCCCGGCGGTTGCACCCAGCTGGCGCCCCTCCCCCCAGACCAGGCGAGGCAGATGTTACGACAGCGTCGTGAGTCGCTCGCATTCCCTGGCGCGAGATTTTTCCCCCGCAGAAGACTCGTCACAGCAATCGAAGTCACTGTGGCAGCGCGGGACCCATGAATCACCACGACGTCCAGAAAAGACGCTGCACCCATGTTGAATACATACGGAAACAACAAAAAACGTGGAAGGCTCTGCTGCAATCGCGCGGCCCTCTGTTGCCCGACGGACCGCGCCAAAGCTCGCGCTTCTGCCCCCCTCTCTCTCTCTCGCTCTATCCCCCTCTCTCTCTCTCTCGCTCCCTCTCTCTCTCTCTCTCGCTCCCTCTCTCTCTCTCTCCCTCTCTCTCTCTGATGCAACATCGTTTTGGTTTCAAGCCAAAACAATGTTACATCAGACCAGGAGGGGCCCGTCGCAAGAAGCGACATCGGCCTGGCAATGTTACGGAAGGACGTCTCGTCTGCATTGCGCGGTGCACGTTAGCCATCCGACTGTGGGAACGAAGTCGCACGGCAGAACGTGGAACCGCCCGCGCCAGCGGCCCTGTGAAGGAGCGATTTGGAAGAGCACCCGGGCATTAACTGGCGTCCGCCTCCCAAATGCCGCCACCGGGCACGCAAGCCAAAACATGGCATATCAATGACCTGGCCCATGGTGCACGCCTGCGCACGCTGCCAACATTGAAAGGCGAATGACACTTAATGATACTCTTTGGGCGTTGCCGTGTGCAGATCGTTCAAGACGATCGACTTATTGATTTTGTTTTAACTTTTCTTGGCAGTTTATGGGGCCACAAAACGATGTACTGGGTGGTGGGGACGCATGCGAACACCGCTCTTGAGGCCTTCCGTGGAACTCCCCATGGGGTCACCAAGCGCTATACAGGGTGCGAGAGACGCATGCGAACAGTGCCACTGAAGCCATCGCCGGAGCTCCGTATGGGGCCACAAAACGCTGTACTGGGTGGGGGAAGACGCCAGCGAACACCGCCAATGATACTTTCGGTGGAGCTCTCTATGTGACCACGAAGCACAGTACTAAATGGTGGGGGGCGCATGCGAACACAGCAACTGGGGCCTTCGGTGGGGCTCCTTATGAGAACACGAAACGATGTACTGGGTAAGGAAAATCCATGCAAACACCACCATTGAGGCCGTCGGTGGAGCTTCCTGCCACGAAACGCTGTACTGGGTGGGGGAGATGCATGCGAACATCGCTATCGAGGCCTTCGGTGGAGCTCCGTATGAGGCCACGAAGCGCTATACAGGGTGCGGGAGGCGCATGCGAACCCTTCCACTGGGACCTCCGGCGGAGCTCCGTATGGGGCCACAAAACGCTGTACTGGGTGGGGGAAGACGTATGCGAACACCGTCAATGAGGCCTTCGGTGGAGCTCCCATGAGCTCCCTATGGGGCCACGAAGCGCTGTACTGAGTGGAAAAACGCATGCGAACACCGCCATTGAGGCCTTCGGTGGAGTCGGTGGAGCTCCCTATGGGGCCAAGAAGCGTTGCACTGGGTGCGGAGGGCAGGGGTAGGGAGGGGAGCATGGGGAGGAGGGAGAAGGGGGAGGAGGAAGGAGGAGAGGAGAGGAGACGCGGCGCGCTGTCCCTTCACGACGAGGACCCAACACGACATGACGGCTGGGAAAAATGGCAAAAGTTGCACGGGTGGCGGGCGGCCCGCTTCCAAGCTGAGGCTCTCGCCGCAGCGCCGCGCACAGTCGTCCGAGATCTTCACGGACGGAGGGCGGCCCGCTTTCAAGATGTGGGTCTCGCCTTAGCGCCGCGCGCACTCGTATGAGCAAACTGCAGGAGCTTCACGGATGGCAGGCGGCCCGCTTTCAGGATGTGGCTCTCGCCTTGGCACCGCGCACACTCGTCTGAAAATGTTGCAAGAGTTTCACAGGTGGAGGGCCGTCCTTTTCAAAACGTGGCTCTCGCCCTAGCGCCGCGCGCATTCGGTTTAAGAGCTTGCAGCAGTTTCCAGGCTTCTCATGGCTTACGTCCCCGAATGGCGTTTTGGCATGACGTCGGAATGTCAGGGCGCACCAGTCACGTTGATTCGCGGTGTTGAAGTCCCAGGCATTGTGTTCTGGCACGAGTCAGGAGCATCAAGACGCAACAATTACTGTGACTCGCGGCGTTGAACTCCCAAGCATTGCTTTCTGGCACAATGCCAGACTTTCAGCTGGTTCTCTCCCGACGGGGCACTTTCCTCAGTGAAAATTCCATGTAGGGGTCTGTGAAGAGGGCACTTGGATGGAGGGTTCGCTGCGATACCGTTGATGATTTTTCGGTTTGCACTGGCTCTCCTCCTCCTCCTTCTCCTCCTCCTCCTCCTCCTCCACATCCTCGTCGTCGTCGTCGTCCTCGCCGCCATGAGGGTCGTCAGGGGTTCCAGCGATTTCGGAGGAGGCCAGGCAAGCAAACCTGCATACTATGCGATCCTGCGTTCCACGGGTCATCGAAGGGTGAGCAAAAACGAGCCCTTGAACACGTCCGATAAGCCTTGGGAGACGCGCCGGGTTCCTCCTCGCACCCCTCCTGAGGAAGGAGCCACCCCCACGAGGCCCGATGTGTCCAGATGCGAGAGAGCGTGATCCACCGCCGCTTTACTGTGGAAAATTGCCGCCCTCTTCCTCCGGAACCCGGGGGTCCCCCCCTCCCCCTTCCGAAAATCCCCCCCCCTGCTGAACCCCTCCCCCCCCCCTCCCCCGGCAAAACCCCCCCCCCTCCCTACCCCCCCCCCCCCCTCCCCCTTGAAAACCGGGGGGGGTCACTACCGGTTCGAACCCCCCCCCCTCGAAAACCGGAGGGGAGGGTCACTACCGGTTCGAACCCCTCCCCACCCCCCCCACTCACCGCCAGCAAACGACTCCCGGTCCCTACCACCGTCCGCACCACATCCCCCACTGTTGTTCCCAGCACCACTGTCCTCACCACCACTGTCCCCACTGGTTCCACCACCGTCCCTACTGTCCCCACCAGTGCCCCCACCACTGTCGCACTGTCCCCGCTGTCCCCACCACTGTTCCCACCACGGTTCCACTCTCCCCACTTTCTCCACGGCCCCAACCACTGCCCGACTATCCCCACTGTCCCCACTGTCCCACTGACTCCTCCCACTGAGCTGTCCCACTGTTCCCACCACTGTCCCCACTGTCCCCACCACTGTCCCCACTGTACCTCTGTCCCATTGTCCCACCGCCGTCCTCGCCACCGCCTTCACCACTGTCCCCACCACCACTGTACCCTCCACCACTGTCCCACTGTTTCCACCTCATTCCCACTGTCCCCACACCACTGTCCCCACCACCACCGTCCCCACCACTGTCCACTGTCCCCACTGTTCCCACCATTGTCCTCACCACTGTCCCCATCACTACCGTCCCCACCACTGTCCCACTGTCCCCACCAATCCCGCTGTCCCCTCACCACTGTCCCCACCACCACCGTCCCCACCACTGTCCGCACCCCCCCTCGGTTTTCGAGGGGGGGGGGGTTCGAACTGGTAATGACCCCCCCCGGTTTTCGAGGGGGGGGGGTTCGAACCGGTAGTGACCCCCCCCGGTTTTCCGGAGGGGGGGGGGGGGAGGGGTTCGAACCGGTAGTGACCCCCCCCGTTTTCCGCCAGCAGCGGTAGAACACGCTCTTTCCCAGATGCAGATCAGCTGCCTCGGCAGCCACCATCCGAGAACGTTTTTAAGCCTCGGTCAACGAACGCTCCAAATCTTTCCCTGGGAAAGAGACCCTCTCTGGTCTCCAGGCCGAAACCCCAAACTCAGGAACCGGGCAGCTGGATCGGAGCGGAAGGTGCCTCGGACCGGTCTGCATCGGCACGAGGCCGTAACCGCATCGGATCGGCCGCGTCAGGATGCACAACAACGCCGTGCAAGCATAAAGCCGCACCGGGTCCCTGGAACATGGAAGTCGAATCGATCGGATCAGGCACAGCGGGCGAGCTGGAAATCGACTCGGATCGATCGAGTCTGAATAGGCTTTAACAGATTTTCCGGGCAAGTCGCATGTAGGCATGTACGGTGTACGGATGTAGGAGCACGAAGCCAGACAAATTATTCTCGCTCTTGGTTCTGGCGGGGCCTTCCCTGGATGTGGTGGGACGAGCACGTAACCTGGGACATTTTATGGTATAGCGACACCCCGCTCGCTCTGGCGGGGCCTCCCTGGCGGGGTAGGAGGGGCGAACAACTTGTGAAATAAGATGGTATCGCCACCCCTCGCTCTCTCTGGGAGACAGAGAGGAGAAGGCATTGAAGCAAGAGAAGGAGTAACGAAGAGGAGGAAGAGAAGGAGGGGAGAAGGATATGGAGGAGGACGACGAGGAGAGGGAGGAGGAAGATGAGGAGACTTCCCTAGAAGTCAGACCGATTACAATCGATGTGTAAAACTAAAAGATGTTTGTGGTTGTCTACTCGTCGTGTAAGTGTAGTCTGGTTGCTCTTTGGGGGGTGGTAATCAATGACGGCGATAAACAAGTTCATCCCGGGCGCGGAGGGAGGGAGAAGGGGGGAGGAGAGAGATATAGAGAAAAGAAGGAAGATAAGCAGGAGGAAAACTGAATACGAGAAGGAAGAGAAGGAGAGAAAGAGAAGGAAAAACAATGACACGCGATGTCGGAGATTGACTCGAACGTGGGCCTTGCGTCCTTCGAACTCGTTACCCATCCAATGACATTCCAGATCGCCATCGTCTGGTGCTCTCGCTGTGGCCTCGCCACACTTAGCAGGCATAGCACTAAGGCACCACATGGGGCCACGAACCGTGTGAGGGGTGTGCATGGACGGGGGTCTACGAGAGGGTGATGATGATAACAAAGGATGCTGATGATGAGAACAAAGGATCGTCAAGATCATATGATTCGATGTACGATTCGTACGTTCCCTGGTGGTAAGACAGTTCGGCCTCACCGCTTCGCCCGCCTAGCAAGTACAACTATCCCACGGGTAACCATGATTCAGGGATTAAGGGAAGATGCTTTATTATCGCGGGCATGCGGTCACGCAACACGCAGCCTAGAGCGCGTTGACGCGGAGCTCGACACGTGGATTGAAAACGTAGGTCCGGCGCGACACGCGATACTTTCGCCGTGGGCCAACACGCAGAGCCAACACGCAGCGTGTCAAGACGGACGTTCTGAGCACAGCACGCGCTGCGCTTCAAAACGGGCGTACCCGGGCAGCTGTGGCCCCGAGGCGCCGCGACTCCCGCCAGCCTGGGGCTTCGAGGGAGCGACAGCGGGCCCCCGCGCATCCCCCTCGGCCAACTCGGCGTCGGCAAGATCACTCCCGCCGCACTCTTGTGGAGCCGCGTGCGCAGGAAAAACGACGACAAAATAAGCCGAAGTCTCAAAGGTAACCACCCCTCGGAAATAACAGCGACATCTCAGTTAGACCGGTACCCCAACGCCTACGAAATTTTGACAACGGCCGAAACTCGATAGACTGACCGCACGGTCCATCTCGACAAAATATTCAAAATAATGAACAAGCCGAGAAGATAAAATCGACAAAGCGTGAACGAAGAAACGGATTGATTCTGAAAGCGTAAACATACCTTTGCGATGCAGGGGCAAATTATTCAAAAACAATAACACCTGTGGTCTGGAAGCTAAGATTTCACGTTCAGATCCGCTCTGCTTTAGCTTCAACGCGTGCGAACATAAATAGTTTCAAACACGCTCCTTTCGCGCAGCCGCCGTCGTCGTGCAACCGCCGCGCAAAATTTGACAGCGCTTGGCTGCCCTGAGGGGGTGAACGGTGCCCGCCAACAAGAATCGGCAGCGAAATCTTGGATCCGACGGTCACCCCAGTCCAGCAGCGACTGCCAGGACTGCTTCGGCAAGGGCAGCCAGCCAGGGACTGGGGCGTCTCCCCCGAGCTCGCCTCGCACTCCCCCAGCAGCGAAGCGACAGTGCCGTGCGCGCTTTGGCGCGCAGGCGACGGCGCTCTCGCAGGCAGCGTCGATCTGCGTCCCGCCACGGACGCGCACCCGGCACTCCACCGAGGGCCCCGCTGCGGCGCGGCGACAGGAGAGCGCTTCTCTATGCTTCGCGAGAACGGCCGTCACCAGCCCTGCCCCCCCCAGGTGACATCACGATGCGGCCGCTCTCCAAGGCGTGTTGTGGGCTAACATCCCCAGACATTCCCAGACGGCGCCCGCGCGAAACGTGACGTTATCGGCCATGGGCCCCGCCCCTCCTCCCTCCCCCCCCAGAAACGCCCGCCACCGCCTGGGAATGAAACAATGCTCTCCAGACAGACCCCACCGAACGGTCTGCCACCGCACGGTTCTGGGGCACTGGCGGCCCCCATCGCCCGAGACATCCTCGGAGAAAGCTGATTCCCCCCGGCCCCTCAAAACCCACAGGGATGGAGGCCTCCGAAACGGGGTCCGAGTGGATGGGGCCAGAGGATCGCGCCGCATCGCCGATCCGATGCATCGGCGACGCACCAGAGCCGACGGCGTGGCGAAGATCTGGCTCCATATCGAGCCGCCTCGTCGATGCGTCGGCGATGCGGCGCCATCCTCCGACCCCGCCTGCGCCTGGAACAGAGCCTCGCCGACAGGGCGCCCGCCAGCCCGGGCCACCCTGGACACCGCGGGCCCCTCGCCGCCGTCGTCGCCGTCTCTCAGCTGACGCCGCCGTCGGGGCCGTCGCTGCCGTCGGTGTCGTCTCCCACCGCCTCCTCATCCGCCTCCTCCTCCTCCTCCTCCTCCTCCTCCTCCTCATTCTCCTCCTTCCTCCTCGTCCTTTTCCTTCCTCGTCCTCCTCCTCATCCTCCTCCTCCTCCTCCTCTTCCTCCTCCTCCTCCTCCTCCTCTACCTCCTCCTCATCCCACTGCCGCCGCCGCCCGCGCCGAGGGGCACGCGAAGACGAAGTACGTTGCGCAGAAGCCCAGCTGGGACGAGGCGAGCGCCTGGGAGGAGCGGGCGGAGGCCGAGAGGCGTCGGGCGACCCCGCCGTCCTCGCATTCCCCAGCTCCTCCTATGGACGCCGACGCTGATGGCCCTAGTGCCGAATGCGACGCAGCACCTCTCCTCCTCCTCCTCCTCCTCCTCCTTCTCCTCCTCCTCCTCCTCTTCCTCCTTCCTGCTTCGCCCTTACTCCTTACTCCTTACTCCTTACCCCTTCCTCCTCCTCCTCCTCCTCCTCCTCCTCCTCCTCCTCCTCCTCCTCCTTCATCCTTCCTCCTTCCTCCTTCCTGCTTCGTCCTTACTCCTCATTCCTTACTCCTTACCCCTTTCTCCTCCTCCTCCTTCTTCCTCCTTTCTCCTTCCATATTCATCCTCCCTCCTTCCTCCTTCCTGCTTCGTCATTACTCCTTACTCCTGCTGCTTACCCCTTACTCCTTCCTCCTCCTGTTCCTCCTGCTCCTTCCTCCTTCCTCCTTCCATGTTCATCCTTCCTCATTCCTCCTTCCTCCTTCCTGCTTCGTCCTTACTCTTAATCCTGCTCCTTACGCTCCCTGCTCCTCCTCCTACTCCTGCTCCTCCTGCTCCTCCTCCTCCTCCTTCCCCTCCTCCTCCTCCTCCCTCCTCCTCCTCTCCTCCTCCTCCTCCTCCCCTCCTCCCCCTCCTCTGCCTCCGCCTCCTGCTCGACCTCCGCCTCCTCCTCCGCCTCCCCCTCCTCCTCCTCCTCCTCCTCCTCCTCTCCTCCTCCTCCTCCTCCTCTCCTCCTCCTCCTCCTCCTCTCTCTCCTCTCCTCCTCCCTCCCTCCTCCCCCTCCTCCCCCCCCTCCTCCTCCTCCTCCTCCTCCTCCTCCTCCTCCTCCTCCTCCTCCTCCTCCTCCTCCTCATCATCATCATCATCATCATCATCACATCACATCAACATCATCATCATCATATCATCATCATCATCATCATCATCATCACATCATCATCATATCATCAATCTCATCATCATCATCATCATCATCATCATCATCCATCATCATCATCATCATCATCATCATCATCATCATCATCAATCTCCGCATCCTCATCATCATCATCATCATCATCGTCATCATCATCATCATCAACAACAACATCATCATCATCATCATCATCATCATCATCATCATCATCATCAGCATCAGCATCATCATCACCATCATCATGACCATCATCATCCGCATCCTCATCCTCATCCTCATCCTCATCCTCATCCCCATCCTCATCCTCATCCTCCTCATCATCATCAGTATCAGCATCAGCATCATCATCATCAGCATCATCAGCATACTCATCATCATCATCATCATAATCATCATCATCATCATCATCCTCATCCTCATCCTCATCCTCCTCCTCATCATCATAATCATCATCATCATCATCATCACCACCACCATCATCATCATCATCACCACCACCACCACCACCACCACCACCACCAGCAGCAGCAGCAGCAGCAGCAGCAGCAGCATCATCATCATCATCATCATCATCATCATCATCATCACCATCATCATCATCATCATCATCATCATCGTCATCGTCATCGTCATCGTCATCGTCATCGTCATCGTCAACGTCAACGTCATCGTCATCGTCATCGTCATCGTCATCGTCATCGTCATCGTCATCGTCATCGTCATCGTCATCGTCATCGTCATCGTCATCGTCATCGTCATCGTCATCATCATCATCATCATCATCATCAGCATCATCCGCCTCCTCCTCATCCTTCTCCTCCTCCTTCTCCTCCTCCTCCTCTTCTGCCTCCGCCTCCGCCTCCACCTCCGCCTCCTCCGCCTCCGCTTCCTCCTCCTCCTTCCTCCTTCCTCCTTCCAGATTCCTCCTTCCTCCTTCCTCCTTCCTCATTCCTCCTTCCTGCTTCGTCCAAATTCCTTACTCCTTACTCCCTCCTCCTCCTCCTCCTCCTTCTCCTCCTTACTGCTTACGTCGTACTCCTTACTCCTTACTCCTCCCTCCTTCCTCATTCCTCCTCCTCCTCCTCCCCCCACTCCCAAAGTCCGCCTTCCTCATTCATCCTTCTTCCTTCCTCCTTCCTGCTTCGTCCTTACACCTTACTCCTTACTCCTTCCTCCTTCCTCCTCCTCCTCCTCCTCTTCCTCCTCCTCCCTCCCTCCGTGCTTCCCTCCCTCCCTCCCTCCCTCCCCCCCTCTCTCCCTCCCCCTCCCCCTCCTCCTCCTCCTCCTCCTCCTCCTCCTCCTCCTCCTCCTCCTCCTCCTCCCCCTCCTCCTCATCATCATCCGCTTCCTCCTCCTCCTCCTCCTCCTCCTCCTCCTCCTGTTTCCCTTCTCCTCCTCCTCCTCCCTCCTCTCCTCCTCCTCCTCCTCTGCCTCCGCCCCCACCTCCACCTCCGCCCCCGCCTCCGCCTCCGCCTCCTCCTCCTCCTCCCTCCTCTCCCTCCTCCTCCTCCTCCTCCTCCTCCTCTTCTCCTTCCGTATTCCTCCTTCCTCCTTTCCCCCTTCCTCCTTCCCCCTTCGCCCATACTACGTTTTCCTTACTCCTTCTCCTTGCTCCTCCTCCTCCCTCCCTCTCCTCTCCTCCCTCCCTCCATCCCTCTTTCCCTCCCTCCCTTCCCCTCCTCCGCTATCATCCTCCGCCCTCCTCCTCCTCCTCCTCCACCCTCCTCCTCCTCCTCTTCCTCCTCCTCCTCAATTTCCTCCTTTTCCTCCTCCTCCTCCCTCTCCTCCTCCTCCTCCTCCTCCTCCTCCTCCTCCTCCCCCCTCCTCCTCCTCGTCATCATCATCAGCACCATCATCACCATCAGCATCAACATGATCACCATCATCAGCCACCGTAACATCACCAACCACAGCAGCAACATTATTACCACCACCACCATCATCATCATGATCATCATCATCATCATCATCATCATCATCATCATCATCATCATGATCACCATCATCACCGTCATCATCATCATCACCGTCATCACCACCATCACCCTCGCCCCCTCGGTTTCATTATCCTCTTCCGCTTATATTTCCTCTTTCTCCTCCTCCTTCTCATTGCTCCTCTCCCCCCCTCCTCCTTCTGGCCCTTCCTCGGCTGCGATCCCCGGGCGCCCGACGTAAGCCCGTGCGCGGCGCCCGCGACGAGGAATGGTCAGGAGGATGATGGTGATGACGATGACGATGACGATGCTGATGATGATGCTGAGGATGCTGGTGCTAATGCTGATGCGGATGCTGATGATGATGCTGCTGATGATGATGTTTTTTGGTCCCGCACACCTTAATCGATAACAGCGTCGACACTGCGAGCTCAAGTTGTTGCTTCGCCTCGTCGCGCATTCGGCTCACCTTGTCCAGAGCAGCACGATGCGTCCTGCGGACGTCCCTGTTCCCGCGATCGGCAGCCATGTCAACGGAAATAGCATCCATGCTATCGTCCAGCGTGGCCAGTTGTGACCGCAAGGCAACAATTTTGCGAAATAGTGAATTCTTGGAATCAACAAGATTCGAGACCTCACGACCACCTGAAAGCCCACGACCATCAGGGAGTTCACGATCATCAGGAAGCACCCGACCACCTGGAAGAGCCTGGCCGTCAGGAGGCCCACGACAAGCAGGAAGCTCATTGCCAACTTGAACAGCTTGATCAGCACCATAATGGAACTCCTGCTCATGAGGAAGCTCAAGACCATCAGGAAGCGCACGACCAGAATCGCGAGGCTCACGACCACCTGGAAGCTCACGAGCATCATGAAGCTCACGACCGTCAGGACGCACGCGACCATCTGGAAACTCAAGAAGTTCACGACCCTCAGGAAGCTCACGAACGTCTGGAGGCTCACGGACATCAGGAAGCACACGACAACCAGGAAGCTCACGACCATCGGGGGGCACGAGAAGCCCAAGCTCCTTGCGATGCTCCAAACCGCCAAACCACGGAAGAGCATCCAGTACGCGGTCCAAGGGTACCCACAAAACAGGAACACCAGTAGGCCAATGCCACAGGCCACCATGAACAGCTGGACCATCACGTACATCAGGAAGTCCGCGACCATCATGAGCGCCACAACCATCAGGAAGCTCACGTCCACAAGGAAACGCTCGGCAATCAGGAAGCTGATCGTGACCACCAGGCACTCCGCCCAGCTCGTGAGGCAGAAAATCAGCACGTACATGAGGACCAGCACGAACGGGATCAGCATGCACAGGAAGATCAGCACATACGTGATCAGCACGTTCAGAATCAGGACGGGCAGGATCTGCAGGTACATGAAGGCCTGCACGTACAGGAAGATCAGTACGTACAGGACCAGCACGTACAAGAAGATCAGCACGAGCATGGGGATCGACATCAGGATCCGCACGCACGGGAAAATCGATATCAAGATCTGCACGTACAGGTAGATCAGCTTCAGGAGCACGTACATAATAAGCGCATACAGGAAGATCAGCACGCGCCTGGGGATCGACATCAAAATCCGCACGGACGTGAGGACCGACATCAGGATCAGCACGTACAGGTAGATCAGCACTCGCACGAGCCTCCGAAGCGTGAATAAGATCCGCACAAGCCACAGCATGGAGAGGCGCTTCGCGAACAGCTTCGTCATGGAAAGGCTCGGGGCGAACACCTTCAGCACAAAGCACAGGGAACGATGGAACCAAAGGGAGGCCACGGGTCCTAGGCTTCTTGGGCACCGCCGCCGCCGCAGCCCAAGGGTCAGCACCTCCATGACCGTGCCAAGGATCAGGAGCCAGCCGAAGCGCATCACGATGCCGACGACCAGGGGGAAAGCCACCGCGTCCAGGTTCATCACCACCGTCATGACCACCCGGGTCTTCACCAGCAGGTTGATCGAAAGCACGAACAGGAGGAGCGCGCTTCATGGAGACCGATCTGTGGGACGCGCCTGTCGACGAAGAGTGCCCATGATCGACCACAACGGCGTCCTGCAGTGAATGGAGCATGAGCTGGACGAGGTGGTTCGCAAAGCTGTTGAGCATGGCGGGGTCCCAGATCGGCAGGAGGACGAAGTTGAAGGTCACGCGGTCGGAGTACGAGTTGAGGCGAGCACGAACCTGCCTACCTTGAGCGAATTGGTCGGGAAGCCACCTCAGACGAGCAGCGCAGACCATCCCAGCGAGGCGGAGACGCAGCGGGGGGCGCACGGGCACCCGATGGCCCTTGACTCAGCACATGTTTGGGCCAAAATGGCGATGATGATGATGATGATGCTGATGCTGATGCTGATGATGACGATGATGATGATGATGGTGATGATGATGGTGATGATGATGATGATGATGATGATGGTGTTGATGATAAGGAGGGGGAGGAGGAGGAGGAGGAGGAGGAGGAGGAGGAGGAGGAGCAGGAAGAGGAGGAGGAGGAGGAGGAGGAGGCGGGGGGGGGACGTCGGCGCCGCGGGTCGGTCCCCCGCGGGCCTTGGCGTGTATTGCGCACGCCGCGGCCCACGAGTTACCGAGGCGAGAGCAGCCAAAGCTGCACGGCCAGGGTACAGGTGAAGACCTCGTCGCCTGTAGCGACTCGCGGGCCAGCCGTCCCGGCTTGGTGTATTGGGAGCCAAAAGGCATTCCAGCCGGAAACGACTGGCACTGCATATTGAAAAGCACGAGCTTCCCAGCCCTGGGTGGACACAAGGCCCCATGGGACTTACGTGGCACAAGCCACCGCCTCCCGAGGAAATGCAGATCCCTGACAGCCAGATCGCAATGAATGACCGCACAAGCGCCGCTGACGCCGCCACCAGCAGGGCTAAGCTGAGACTGGGGGCCGTGCTACTCCCAACGACGGGAGCCCCGCCGATACAGGTTTCGCAATGTCCACCCCCAGTCCCAGAGCCCGCCGTATCCAAGAAATTCGGCCGGTTGCTTCACACCCTGCCCGTTCACTGCATGCCAATGATACAGTGTGCCCCGAGGGTGTACAGCAAGGACACCATGAAAACAGGTGCCAAGCCCCCACCCTCGGGGGGGCGGGGGGGGGAGGAGGAGGAGGAGGAGGAGGAGGAGGAGGAGGAGGAGGAGGAGGAGGAGGAGAGAGGAGGAGGGAGGAGGAGGAGGAGGAGGAGGAGGAGGGGGAGGAGGAGGAGGAGGGAGGAGGAAGGAGGAGGAGGAGAGGAGGGAGGGAGAGAGTGGAGTGGAGTGGAGTGGAGTGGAGTGGAGTGGAGTGGAGTGGAGTGGAGTGGAGGGAGTGGAGTGGAGTGGAGCGCGCCGAGACGCGGTCGAGCGGGTCCCCCGCGCCCGCCGCGCTCATCCGCTCGCGGTCACCGCGAGCGAGGCGGCGCGCCACGGTGCGGCGCAGGACCGAGGGCCCCCGCCCACAGGGATGTGGCGGGCAGGCCCTCGGCCTGTGGTGAAGCACCACGGCCTGCGGCCTGGCCAACGGCCTGCCACGCGGGCAGCCTGGCGCAGCCGCCTCAGCCGCGCTGCCCGCGGCGGGCTGGCGGCGGCCCCGCCACCTGCCGCGCCAACTCGCCGAAGGACATGGCGGGCTGCCGCGGGGCGGGAAGGGCGGCAGCGGCGGCTGCACTGGCGGCCGCGCCGTCCGGCATGCACGTGGACCTCGGCCAGCGCCGCGACGCAGGTCGACAGCTCCAGCAAGGGCCCCGTTCGCGGAGCCTGGGCCCTCGGCCGCCACGGGCTGGCCCTGCTCCTCGACGGGCTCACACTGCTCCAGCTCGAAATCGGGGATGACGTCGGCCACGGCGTCGGAGACGGCGCCGGGCTCGACGTCGAGGTCTGCCCTGCCCTCGCCCAACTCGGGCTTGTCCGTCGCCTCGACAGGCTCCCACTGCTCCAGCGCGTCGTCGGGGATGACGAAGGTCTCGGCGTCGGGCTCGGCGCCGATGTCCGCCCTGAGCGTGGCGGTGGCTGCCGTGATCAGCGAGCTTACGACGCGGGCCCGCCTGCCTCGCAGCCGAGCTGGGCAGGTCGCAGCTCGGCCACCTGCGAGATGGGGCGCTGCTCGGCTCACTGGGCCCAGCAGCGGACAGGGCATCCGAAGCTAGGGAGGGCGCGCTGCATCTCGGGTGAGCAGTGTCATTGAGGGCAGCCATTGCCAGCCCACCCTCCGAATCCGTCGACCCGTCTTGCTGGGCACCCATGGCCTCGCTGCAGCGCCCCACGCCAGCCACGTCAGCGACTCCCGCTGCGGCCCGCCCAGCAGCGCCTCGGCCCTCGGCAGCGGCGCGGCGCACGATGGCCGCAGCGGGGTGCCTGGTGCACTCCGTGCCCAGCACGATGTAGCCGCCGTCCGCGATGGTGCCCGAGGAGTGCTCCAGGGCGAGGGCGAGCACCTCGAAGTCCATCCGCTCGGTGCTGGGCGCTGCGTCGAGCTCCACGCCACTGCTTTGCATCGCCGCGCGCCGATGTGGACTGGCCAAAAGCTCTGACAGCGGGACCTTCAAGGCTCGGTTCCGAGGCGTGGGCGCTGTGATGGCAGTCCCCGACATGACTGACCACTACGCCACGCTCATCACCTTCCCCAGCCAGATCGACACCACCATCACGCTCAGCAGCAGGTGAGGCACGCACTTCCGCTGCAGGTTGTCCAGCGCGCGGTCTGACGCGCGAGCTGTGCACCCGCGCGGCGGGCGGCCTCGCGCCACGGGTGCGCCCATGCCTGCCTCCAACAAGGATTTCGAACTGATCAGAGCTCGAGCCGTGTGTCCTGTCGTGGCCCATGTGCGCCCTTTCGTCATCGTCCGTCTGGATGTCGCCCATGGAGCGGTCGCGTGGCTGTGCCTCCATTGGTGGGGGGGGCCTTGGGGTGCTCCGAAAGCTGCTCCCCTGCCCCCCCCCCCCCCCTGGCTATCGCGCCGCCCCATCGTGGTGATGGGAGCCCGCCCACCCTACCCCTCCAATAGCGGCACGCTCTCCGCGCCTCACGCCAGCGGCAGCGCCGGCAGCAGCCCTCTGACGAGGGCTCGTGGCGCTCGTGGTGCTCAGCGGGCCCACGGGCATCACGACCTCCACGTCGTCCACGTCCAGATCGATGCCGGGCTTGGGCGCACGTGGCGACGACGGCGAGCCTGGTAGCCGCGATGGCACACCAGGACTTTGCGAACTGACGCCTGTGGCGACGGAGCCTGGCAGCCGCGTTGGCACACCAGCGCTTTGCGATCTGACACCAGGGCCCGTTCGGCATCATGAGCGCCTCCGCCAGCAGCCTGCCGTGGCCGCGCGATCGCCAGGGGGCTCCTCCTGGCCCCTCGCCTGCACTGCAGCTGGAAGACGCCCAGGGTGCCACCGTCGTCGAAGTCGCGCTCGGCGGTGAACTCGTCGCCGTCGTCGGAGCTCAGGATGACGCCTGCCTTCGGCCAAAGTCCTTGCCGAAGTCGCTCGAGATGTTCTCGGCCAGCGGGCGTGGCCCCTTGGCGCTCTGCGAGCAGGCCCCGACCGAGCGCCCGCAACCCTGGCCACGCATAACAGCCGCATGCGAGGCAGGCCTACACGTCCAGCGACACCTGCAGCTTGCATCGCGTGCGACTCGTGCACCTGCTGGTCACCGATGTGCAACGGGGCGTCGGCTGAGGCAGGGCGGGCCCCATCGCCGCCACACGCCGCGAGCCCTTGACATGCGCTGGCAAGCCACGCTGCTCGACTGGTGTGTCCTGCAGACGTGCGGCAACTCCGACTGCTGATCCCGTCGTCGCGCAGCGCGTGGGCGGAGAAGACGGTGGTCATGCCGATGGAGGGCGGGGACACGCGTCGGCCAGGACAGCGACGAGGTCGACCGCGGGCCTCGGCGGCTGCCGTGGCATCGATGGTGGCCCTCAGCAATCGCCATCGGACCTGGGACGCGAGCACCTCCGCGGCCAGCAGCTACTGCCGAGCACCGCCGTCAAGTCGTCCTCGACCTGATGCATGACCAGCCAGCACGTCGGCGATGGCGCTCCCGCGTAGCACTTTCTGGGGCAGTCCTCGTGCTTGCGCCTCCTGAGGCGCGAGGTGCGAGTTCACGTGCTCGACGGTGAAGTCGCTCCTAGGAGGGTGAAGTCGCTCCACAGGTTGGCTTCCTGCCCTGCGGCTGCAGGATGCTCGTCGCACCGCTGCCGCAGGCCCTAGCAGCCCACCACTCGGAGCGGCGGGCTGCTAACACCAAGGCCTGAAGCTCGCCACGATGAACCGTCTGCCTCGCGCCTGCGAGAAGGCCGAGGATGGCGCTGTCGACTTCGGTAGCCTCGCAACGGACACTGCGCACAGCGACGCCCACACGTCGAAGCTGAGGGTGCATCGAGTTCCGTCTCTGGCATCGCCGAACAGCGCGAGGGGGTCGTGCGGGGTGCCGATGCCGAAGCCCTGGTGACCAAGCGCGTCGCCGATGTGCGTCCAGCAGGGCTCGTCGGGAGGAGCTGGGACGCGGGCCCAGCCTCCTGGTAGATGGTAGAACGCATCGAAGCCAGAAGCAGAGGTACGCGTCTGCTGCAGCATGATCTCTGGCAGCGAGATGGGCGCTGACGCTGAAGCGGTAGGCCTTGGACCCCTGGTTGGCCTCGCATGTCCACAACCTGTGCAGCGGCGTCTCTACGTCGGGCCCGCACCTGGGGCATATGCAATCGACCGAGTCCTGCGCGCCGAAGGTGTCGACAGCCTGCTCGCCAGGCCATGAGCCACCAGCTGCGATAGACGCCATGAGGAGCGCGAGGAGCTGGTGGCGCTGGGATCCCCATGGCGCGATGGGGGGCCATGTCGGCCCCATGCTGCAGGCCTTCTCCGCACCAGTGAAGGGCGGCGTCGCTCCATTGCTGCTCCTGCACCGGGGCGTCGAAAGCGTCGAGCAACTGCTGAGTGGAACCGTCGACGAGCGCCTCCGCGTCGGGGAATGTCCAGCGCTCCCATCCGCCTCCAGGGAGTGGCGCACTCACCCGTGCGGGCCAACGGGGTCCCAGTCGCATTCCATCAGCAATGCTAACAGCGCCGAGGTCGGACCCAGGACGTGACGGTGGCGCTGAGCAGGTAGAGCGTCCCTCAGCCGACGAATCATCGGGGCCCACGCTTGCTGGACTCGTCGCCTGAAATCAGCCTCGCGACGCCGCGCTTGAAATCAGAGCTCGAGCTGCTGTCGCGGGAGGCGCCGCGCAGGATCTTGAGCTCCACGCAGGAGCTGCAGGACGGTGGCGAGGCAGTTCCCCTTGCCAGCTGCAGCGCTGACGGC